CCCCAAAACCCCAAAACCCCAAAACCCCAAAACCCCATTCCTAGTGAGGAAGGCTGAATCATAGAACATAATAAGAGTGTATAAATAATTTTTAATAAAATTTTATACCATAAATGGTTAGTTATTATTAAAAAGTGACAGATTAAGGATTACAAGGAGTTTAGAAGGGACTCAATCTCTTCAACTTCGGCTCCATATTGGTCATGCTTCATTTTCTCTTCATATTTCTTCTTCTTGGCCATCTTCACAGCGTTATTATACTGCTCCAACTTCTTGAAGTCCAATGTAGGGATAAGAACTGGCTTCTTTGGAATTTTAGCAGGACTATCTAGTATCGGAAGATAGCTAGCGTTAAGGTCCTTAGTTCTTGAAGTACTATAATCGAATGATTTGTTAGACATCTTAGAGTTGTCTAGCTCCTCGAAGAAGTTTTCGGGAAGCTGATCGAAGGATTCGTTTAAACCAAACCTCGCCTTCGTTTCTTTTGAGTTTTCCTTCTTAAAAGTACCCTCTTTGATTTCTTCATTGAGTTTCTTCAAAGAATTCTTATATTTGGATGGGGTCAGCAAGTCAAATCTGTGGCTATCTATTGGTTTGACTTCTTCCTGATATAGCTTAGTGATCGGGTATCCATTTTTCATGCACAAGAATATTAAAAAGTTAAGCCTATTCTTCTTCTGGGTCAGGTCATCAACTTGCTCTTTATATCTGATTGCAGCATTATTCAGCTGATCGTTCTCATTAAGCAAAAGTTTGAAGTTCTGCTTGAGCTTGTTATATTTAGAATAACTAACCTCAGGCTTATTTTTGGCACTTTCTAATTTAAGCTTTAAGGCCTTAATCCCAGATTTGAACTTCCTAAGCTCTTCAGAATGCTTTTTACTTTGTTGGTCTAGCTCATGCTTCCATTTGCTATTAATTTCATCTACTTCTTTTTGCAGGGAGTTTCTTTTCTCAGCTAGATTCTTGAAGTCATCAATTAAAATGGAGTAGCTCTTAACGATCTTTCTCTTCTCATAGCTTTCATCTTTATGAGAGGGTTTCAAAGAGTATTTAGATGAGGAAGAGATCTCCAGGCATTTCTTCAGAACAGTTTCTATTTCAGAAAATTGATTAATTCCTACTATCCTTTTTATGAAGTTTTCGTATGCTCTTTTTATGTAAGAAAACACGTTGTCTCCTTTAGAATTATTTGAATGGGCCTTGGATCTCTGACTTTTGTCGATTTCAAGGCTATCTCAGTGCTGGATAATCTTGTCAAAGCATCTCGAGAATTTTTGGATAAGATTAGGGCTGACCCTGTCATAGTTTATCATTTTAAAATCATGAATTTCAGATGATAGTATTGACTCAAATTCATCCAAAATTTCTCTGTTCCCAATGTAGACAGAGGTATCTACTTCTGATTTCATCTTGGACTTGATGTTGATAACCTTGGGTTTTATTTTCTTCTTATGAGAGGTCTTGCCCTGACTAGGGCTCTTAAAGCTATCATCCTTATCTCCACTAGAAGATTTCTGGGACTCATTTAGAAATTTATCCGATTTCTTGTCTAAATAAAATGAGAACAATTAATGTACCTTTTCTTCTTGAATTATGCAGAGGAATTGAAAGAGTCCTTAAATTTGCTGTGGAACTAAAGTTTATATCTCCTTTAATTTTTCCAAGATTTCCAGGAGTTTTCGCCTCTTCAGAATCTAGTCTATAATCCTTTCTGTTGAACTTGTTGGTACTCCTAAAAATTGTCAATCTTCAATTCTATTACTGGACAATAAATTCATACGTTCTGAGGAAATACTTACATGTGGAGTCAAGGAGTTGTAGCAGTTGTGAGTTGAGATGTGAGGCTTCCTCTCTTCAATTCTCTTATATCTCTCTTAGCTACGACACTGAGAGCAGATTCGACCTCATCTTTATCGTTTAGAGGCTTTGGTTTTTCCTTAACTGCAGTATTACTGAGAGGTGGTTTTCTACATAACATATTAATACTTAATAAATTTTATCTAGGCCAAAGTAGCATTATTCACCTTCCCTAATCAAACATTTGGGAACACCTAAGATATACAAAAACAGTTGAAACAGCATATAGACGTCTCCTTATGTAGCCAAAGTCTAAACGAGATTATTTCGATATTTTAACAAAAATTATTCCTATCCCAGGTATTGGAAAGTTTTGATAACTAATATTCTAAAAATTTAGACAGCCGATTTTTACTATTAAATCACATATAAATTTCTCTAAGAAACCTAAGCCATATTAAAACGGTAAAAACTATTAGTAGCTATATATTTCAGTACAATTCTTCGGTGAATGAACCAAATATAATTTAGTGCTGATAAACCTTGGTTTAATGTTAAAAACTAACTGCCCTTATTTTTGGACGTTCAGATTATGGAAATGGCTTAAAAGACATCTTTACCGTTGACTAATTCGCAATTTTGTTAGGAACGATAGACTTACGGAATAGATGACATTTTATTGCTCTTGAAACGATCTAAATGAGGATTAGCGACTGGGATAATATCTTAGTTAGATTAGTAAAAATTAACCGAGAGGAAATCTCAGATTTGTGATATACAACATTTTCAGAAAGAATTTAATAAATTTACTTACCATTTTTAGTCCTTGTCATTGGAAGAGCATGTGAAGGTTGCTTCCCACCAGTTTTTAAAGATGGAAGCATCGAACTAGTCTCACTCCGTTTCATTTTTGACTGTGACAAGCTCCTTGCACCAAATGTGTTTGCCAAGCTTTTCACCATCAGAGGTGAGCTTTTGGTGGCTTTCTTATTCATAGGGGATGTATAGATATTGGGAGTCCTACTCGCTCTATATTTCATAAGATAAATTCAATTCTAATAAACCATTATTAGTAGTTCTCTATCTAAATCATCTAGAAAATTTGCTTAAAATACTAAGCATTATTCTACTTTTCTGTCAAGATAAAAAAGTGACATTTAAGAGTTGAGCGCTGCCGAAGAAATACTAAATTGATTTATTGCAAAAGAATCTTGATTTGAAAAAAGACACAGGATAAGATGTTCGTGAAGGACATCAAAACCTTTCACATCTTTACTTTATTCAGAAGTCACTGGAAATGATTAGGCTTACTCAATACTTTGATAATCAACTTGGGGCTCAATAGAGAGTGATTTCTTGTTCCTCCTATTGAGCAAGTGACTGATGTCTTCGGCTGCAGACTTAATCATATTATTTTTGAGTTAATTAATTATATAACTCCTCTCAAGAGAAATATTCCTCTTGGGGTTTTGGGGTTTTGGGGTTTTGGGGTTTTGGGGTTTTGGGG